TACACCTTACCTCATCCTCGCTGTGCTTCTGCCCTAGCGTAGCTGATGATGGATACTGTAACCTCTGTGTTTCTTTCTCTGAAAATGCTTTGTTACCTTTAAGAGCGAGAATATGTTCTTCTGGTTGTTGCAAACTGATGCAACACTAAAGCCCTGGGAAAGAAATGCTACATTTAATTGATGGAATGCCCCCTCTGTCTTTTAACAGGTCCGTAGAGAAGAGCCCGCCTTGATGGCCAGCTCCAGGGTCCGCCCAGCCCAGCGCGCTTGACTGATGGAGGCCAGGTCAGGAAGGTTAGGGGAAGACTGTGAGAATGATGCAAACACTGATAGTTACTTCCCCAGTTATAGTCTTCCTTCCTTTCCTAGCCTTTGGCTTATAGCCTTTCTGAGCCCATAGTTTTCATGTACAAGAGCTACTGATGGATTTTTTTTTTCTTCCGATCATATATAGTACTTTTCAATAGTGTGCTCTGTAATGACTGCAAATGTACTGGGGTATATTTTTCCATTTTGGGATCTACAACTTTGTTGAAAAATGAACTCCACAAGCTAATTATGAGTCACCGGGTTGTGGGGAGGGAACAAAACCAAAACAACAAAAAACCGACATGTATCTTTTTGGTCATTTAAAAAGTTTTCTGCTTTATAGCTTCATGTGCTTCCCTGTCATTCTTGGATTGTGAACTAATAAGACATAATAATTTCTTATCTGCTTTCTTTGTACTATCACAGTTTTATAAACCTTTATCATATTCTTCTTCAGCCATCTGTTTTTTCAAGCTGAAGAGTCTTAGCCTATTTAATCTCTTTTCATAGAGATGCTGTTCCATATTTCTGCACATGCTGGTTGCCTTTCTTTGTATCATTGCTATTTTCTTTTAGAGATGGTAAGAATAGAAATGCATAGCATTCAAGATTTGTGGAGGCACAATGGACTTACACTCAGCAGAATGCTGTCTCCTGTTTTTCTTTCTATCCCTTCTATAATGATTTCTAACACCCTATTTTCCTTTTTTACTGCAGCTGTGATTTCTACAGACAGTGATTCCATGATTTTTTTTCTCCCTTATAACTGATTGAGAAATAATTCTTGTAAATTATTTGCTTTTGTCTCTTTTAGAAAGTATTTTCAGGAATTTTGCCAATACTTGTCTGAGCACTTCTCAGGCCTAGGAACTTGATGGCTATTGGGTAACATCTGAAGTTTAGTTGTGAATGGATGTGGAGTCATGCTTGCATCACCACATAAACTTTCCCAAAAATATGCTAAAGGCATTTGGGAACTAAATTAACTGAAACAGGCTGCCAATGCTGCCAGGCTGCTAATGCAACCTCTCAAGAGCAAAAGTAAAGATACTAGGAAAGAGTGTTTATCTTTGAAGACATTGGAAAGTAAGACTGCTCTTGCTAAGCTGGGTAGATGAGCTTGAGTATGTTGAAGGAAAAGTTCTGTCAGCAGAAGTGATGTGGCTTAATATCCAGGATTTAAGGGCTCATCAGCAGGACTCAAAACTGTGTGATCATTTGTACAGATAAGATTGTTAGCACTTAAAATAATTAGCAGTTACCAGTGCGTTTTTTTGGTACCAGGTAGGCAACGTTAAAGACAATAAAGTGTCTCTATTGTGCAGCAATTAGTGTACCATATTCTCAATTGGTACTTTGCTCTTCCTTCTCAAGAATGCAATACAGAAAAGAAATTATAACAGATAATTGGAAACAAAGATTACAGGATTTTTAAAAATCTACTCTGTTCCAATATGAACATTTCCTGCATTTTTAGAGTAATGATTGTTAGAAGATCTATGGATAATTGAATCTATACATCTTAGTCAAGCCATTTTGATCCACTTCTTCATTTTATTCATCTATTAAGGAAAGGCAATATTTACTTACATAACTCAGGAGTACTGTGAATGATAATTAATGCTTACAAGAAGTAGTATGATTGAAATGAAGTGCTATGCACTTCCAAAGGATTATTAATTTTATTATCATTGTTATTACTGTTCTGAGCTATTGGAAATTACTAAAAGATAGGCAATTACCACAGACTTTCTTGAGATGACTTTGTAGGGTATTAAAAGAAGAGTGTTACACTGTAGAAAACTCATAATGAAGTTGTAAAGGTGAGATTACATCCTATGCCTTAAAAGGGTAGTCATATGCCAGAAATGTTTGTAATTTTGGGAAAATATTATGGCCAATGGACAACCGTGTTTCTGCACATTACAGAGGGCCCATTTGTCAGCTGAGCTGCAGAATGATAGCTGCCTCCACCAAGAATGTGAGCCCAGGGCAGCTTCAGCAGGTGATGAGCATCTGCTAAATTGTGATGACCTGATAGCCAGATGTGACCAACAATAGGCCAGATGGATCAGGACATGCCTGTCCCTGGTGCTTCCAGTTCCAGGCTCTTGTCCTCTGGTTTATAGGACACCTCCTATAAACCTATACCTATATATAAACCTCCCATAAAAAGATCAGTTAAATCGATCTGGCTACATGACTGCATTCTAAAGTACACTGTGAAATGGATCCCATTAAAAATGGCTCTAACGCCATCATTTTGCGAAAGATTTCTTTTTAAAAAATGGGTAATTTACAAAGCTGGTTTAGAATATGGCTGTACCTCAAGACTGTCCCCATGAATATTTAAAATAGCTTTGTTAACATCCACTTTAATGGCTATTTGGATTAATATTATTGAGTTTCCCATGAACACAAGCTGAATTATCCTATGAAGAAAATGAATTAATTTCCACTGGCAGTAAGGAATAATTTCTTATGCAGAATTTCTGCCTCTTACATGACTGGATTTCTAGACATTCCAATTTAGGTTCTTGATGAGTTGAGAATAAAAGATTTCCCTATTCTAATCTGAAAGATTAATTACAGAACAAAGACTGTCTATAAAGAAAAATGTTATTCCTCTCCCTTTACCCAAGCTGAGAGAAAGTAATTAGCTAGGGGTCTAATCAAACTCCAAATAGGATCTGTACAGTAGGTTAAACCACCTCTGCCCTTGCTGGCATCTTGCTGTTCTGGGTGCTGGAAAGAGCTCTGCTTTAATTGCAGCAATCCAGGAATCTATCAAGACACTCTGCCTGCGACAGCAATCGGAAGTATTGGAAAGGACTATCCAGAGGGACATGGGACTTCCCAACAGCTGACCAAATTTAGTTCCAAAAGCTGCAAGTGTAGCAGTGCCACGCAGGAAATGCCTTGCTGTGGACTCAGCAAGGCGGTGACTCTCACAAAGGGCTCAAACTCAGCCAAGCCAAGTTTTTACTGCTTCATTTGGGATATGCTTTGTTCGGATATCAAGTCAATCCCAATGATGTGGTAAATATCTCAGTATTGACAAAAAGCAGCTTGGGGGAAAAAGATCTGGGGTCTTGGTGGATACCAGGCTGAATATGAGCCAACAACGTGCCCTTGCCGCAAGGAAGGTGAATATTATACTGGGCTACACTAGGCAAAGTGTTGTCTGCAGCTTGAGAGAGAGATCTTCCCACTTTATTCAGTGCTGGTGAGGCCTCACCTAGAACACTGTCCAGTTTTGGGTTCCTCAGTACAAGAGAGACATGGATACACTGGAAAGAGTCCAACAAAGGGCTGCAAAGATGATGGAAAGGCTGGAGCATCTCTGCTGTAAGGAAAAGCTGAGTGAGCTGGGACTGGTTCAGCCTGGAGAAGAGAAGGCTCAGGGGGACCTCATCAAGGTCTACTGATACCTGAAGGAAGGGTGCACAGAGGATGGAGGCAGCCTCTTCTCAGCAGTGCCCACTGACAGAGTCAGAGGCAATGGGCACAAACTGAAACACAGGAGGCTTCCTCCAAACACCAGGAAGCACCTTTTCACTCTGAGGATAGCTGAGCACTGGTACAGGCTGCCCAGAGAGGCTGGAAACATCCACAAAGATCATCGAGTCCAACTGTGCTCCTCCTCACAGGAATGTCTAAAATTAAACCATATAACAATATACAACATATAACATTGAGATGCTCGTTGAACTCTGACAGAGTTGGTGCTGTGACCCTTTCAGTGGGGAGCCAGTTCAGTGGCTGACCACCCTCTCAGAGAACTTTTTCCTAGAATCACATCTGGACCTCCCCTCATGCAGCTCCATTCTGATTTGTCATGTCTTATCAGTGGTCAGCAGAGCAAGGAGCAGCCATCCTCGGAGATATTCAAAATCCATCCAGATACAGTCCTGGGTAACCTGGTTTAGGTGGCTATGATTGAGCACTGAGGTTGGACCAGGTACGTCCAGAGCTGTCGTGCAATTCTATGATGTATGATGTTGACTGACCAACCTACAGGTTCATGCTAAAAACCCCCTCTAAAACAGGATGGATGCATTTAATATCACGTAAAGCACTTCACTGTGTCATATCTCTTGGCCAGTTTTTGTTGTTTGACTCAGTTCCCTCATGGCTACTCCTTCGGGGAGTTTGCTCATCCAACCAAATCCTTACTCCAACACATTTCACACAACAAGCCACCTTTGTCCGCCGCCCTGTGAGGATCCTCACCTCTCAGCGAGGCGCGATGCGGGCACGCGCTCACCCCGCCATGAGGGGCCACCCCCGTGCGGGAAGGGGCCACCGGCTGGAGACGCGGGGATCGCGGCTCGGTGTCGCGCCGGGGCCGGACTGGCGGTCCCCGCCGGACCACGCTCCGGGGGCAGCGGGTCCGGGGGCAGGGGTCTCCGGCCCCTCCGCCCTCACGGCCACCGCCCCCGGCGGGGCGGGGCCGGGCCGGGCCCGCCCGACGCGTTTCGAACGGGCCAACGGGCGGCGCAGCGGGGCGGGCACGCGCAGGCCCCGCCCGGGACTTTAAAGCGCCATTTTGTGCTGGGCGCAGGACATCGGTCGCGGCTCACACCCGGCGGGCGCCCGGCAGCGGCCGGAGCCTGCCTTCGGCGCTGCGTCCGCTCTGCCTCCGCTCGGCCTTCTCGGCGTGCGTCCCGCCACCCCCTCCCGTTGCCTCCATGACCCGCAGTAGGAAGCAGGCGGCGCTGGAGAGAGGAGCCGGGAAGATGAACACAGAGGCGGGGAGCGCCGCGGCGACGGCGGCCGCGGGAGCCCGGGCGGCGACGGCGGCGGCAGCAGGGGCGGCCGGGGCAGCCGGCGGCGAACCGGCGGCCACCGCCTGGGGGCTGGACGGGGAGGCGGAGAAAGTTGTGTACTCGCGCTCGCAGGTCTCCTTCGCCGGCACCAAGGCGCTGGGCGACGCCCTCAAGCTCTTCATGCCCAAGTCCACGGAGTTCATGAGCTCCGACTCGGAGCTGTGGAACTTCCTCTGCAGCCTCAAGCACGAGTTCTCCCCGGTCATCCTCCGCAGTAAGGACGTCTATGGATACTCCTCCTGCCGCGCCGTCGTCCCCGACCCACCGCCGCCCTCGGAGCGGCCCCGCCGCCGCGCCGGCAAGCGGCGCCTCCCGGCCGCCGACGCCAAGCGCCGGGCCGGGGCGGCGGGCGGCAGCGCCAAGCGGCGGCGGCGGCGGCGGCGCCGCAGGAGGGAGCGGGGCAGGCAGCGGTCCGCGGCCGGTGGCCCCCGCGCCCAGGAGGAGGAGGCGGCGGAGCCGTCGGGCGAGAAGGCGGACAGCAAGCAGGGCAGCCTGGCGGCGGTGGCGGCCGTCTGGGAGCCGTTCGGCGGCAAGTCGCTGGAGGAGATCTGGCAGGCGGCCACCCCCCGCCTCACCACGTTCCCCACCATCCGTGTGCGGGGCAGCATGTGGTGCCCGCGGAGCCTGGCGGCGGCGCGGCAGCGGGCGCAGCGGATCCTCGGCGTGGACCTGTCCCCCGTGGTGCGAGTGCGCCGCTTCCCCGTGGCACCGTCCTGAGCCTGCGGGGCTCCGCTCCCCGCGGCTCACCTTGGCCGCGGTACGGACAAAGAGACCGGTATCAGTCACCTGTTTACATTGCTTTTGTCTGGATCGTGTTCTGCTGCTGCACTTTATGGCCCGCTCGGGCGGTGCCGGGCCCCCCGCCGCACGGGGGGGCAGCCTGCCGGGCCCCGGCCTCGCCCCGGGGTGGGACCGCCTGGCAGGTATCACGCGTGGGGACCAAGTTCCACTTCCACTTTTTTTTCTCTCCCATTGGGCTACCTCACTGGTCCAGAAGTCCACCCAAGAAGTTATTTTCCAAAGGAACTTACTTTCATGCTTGTATAATAAAGCACCATCTGATTCTTGCTATTTTTTTTTTTTTTTCCTTTTCCCCTTTCCCCTTTTCTGATGGATTATGTATGCTTTGTGGTGTTGCACTAGTATGTGCTCAGGGTATTTTGAATCCCAAGCATTCCCAAGTTTCAGTTTACTCTGATAAAGGATGCGTAAAGAATGGAGGTTCAGGACTTGTGGCTGTTCTTGATGGTGCAAAAACTTTTTAAATTTTAATTTCATGAGCTTAGTGATATATAAAGATGTATCGCGCAGTATAATTGTTACACTTTTGTATCTAAAGTCATTTTTAAAGTTTTCTAGTTGAACTAAGTATTTGTTTCTATGGAGCACCTAAAGATAGAATCATCCTGATATTTTATAACCCTGTTTACTTTAGGGAAGCTCATTTGGTCAACCTAAGTGAACTTAATAAAAGTCAAAGAACAAATGGTGTTTCGGTTCAATGAAACTGCACAGGGATGGGTTCCTGGTGAAGTACACCACCACTGAGGCACTCTGTGTTAGTGAGCTCTGGCTTTGAGAAGAATGTACCTGCTTATCAAAGCAATGTATAGGTGCCTGGAGGTGAGCTATAATCCAGCATTGGTGCTGACAGCCAGAAGTCAGTAGCTTGCATGACACTAATATCACACTGAAGTGCCTCTGTCTGCAAAGAGTAAGACTTGATCTCGATAACAAACTAGCACTCATCTTGTGGTTGTGAGATGGTTAATGATGGATAATCATGCTTAATATAATTACTTGCACATAATTATTTTTATAAACCTTTCACGGGTTCCACAGTAGACTGATGAAAAATTCATGATGTAGCTTGATTATTTTGAATGAAAAATAACATGTAGTCATTCTGTGTGATAGGCAGTCTCTTTAAACTGATTTATTAAAGGGTTTTTTAGCTCTTATGCCTTGCAACTGGTGTGTGAGGAGCAAAGGTGTGTGTGTGTAAGGGAGAAAGTGATTGATTATTGTATTTTTACATTTTTTTTTCACGCTTGCAGGAGGGTAAAGAAATGCTGGGTAATACACAGCTTACATTCCAACTATCCTGGCAAATGGGACTAATCAGTTTTCATGGTGGAATGAACAACCTCACAACTTGCTTATAGAATAATTTGGTGATTTAAAATTTCTGTTGTCTCTTGACTCTTTGTTGCCTGCCTTCAAGAAAGGCAGTAAGACATCCTGATGGTGTAGAGGCTGCTTGTAAAAACTTCCTAGTGTTAACGTAAAGCAGCCAGCTTCTTCTAAAAACATGTATATTTTGTAATTTTTTTCTATGCAAACTCCTTCCAAACTAGTGCTTAATCTATTCTACATCCATTTGGCTTTTGAAATTGTTTACATAACGTTAGACTGTCTGCTGATGGCTGCAGTAGTGCCACGTTGCATTTCAGAAGTGAATTAAATGAAAGTTCAAGGGTGCATATTGTTGTGCTGTTCCTCTGGGTATAATACCTGCTTGACTGTAAAAGCAAAATTGGGTTGATTTAAAACTCAGTAAGGCAAGCTGCAGTGTTACCAGATGCCGAGGCTCCAGGTATTTCAATTTTGAAATTCTACTTCAAAAACACAAGAGTATAGTTACCAGTTCTTAAAGTGTATAGGTGATTTCAGTGCTCCTACTATTAGGTTGGGGGGATTTTTAGTATTATTTTCAGCTCTGTAGAAAGATGATAAAATTGAAGATTTGGCTTGTGCAGATTCTTAACTCCTAAACAGGTGCAAGACAGGTTAGGTCAGATTACAAGGGTGAGAGTTAAGGCTGCCAGAGGTACGATATGGGAGACACTGTATTAAATTTGTGCTGCCTTGTTTGGAGGCACGTCCTGAAATGTTCTGTGTAAGAACAAAATGTAGTGAAGTAACTTGTATCTCTGTTGAGTGACTCTTGCTCTGGGGGGTCTATGAGTAAGACTTGCTTATTTTTCTCTTGATTGTGCTTTGACTTCTTGGTTTAGAAGTGGGAGCTTTGTTTGGGGTATAGTGTGTTTTGCTGATACCCTGTTAGCAGGTTGGGTTGGAGTTTCACTGGAGTCTGAACTTCTCTGACAGCTGCATTTATGGATTCTTAACTCAGCTATTTCAGTTTGTGAAGTCAATTAAGAATGGGAAATCTTTAGTCAGGTTTTCTGGCGATGTAATGAGCTGAAATAGCTCACCAAAGTTCTGAGTCCAGGATGGGGTGTGAAAGCCAACAGGTCACAGGGAAACTAAACCAACTTATTTCATTATTGTATTCATGGAAATTTGTGGCAATCCAGGACAGGATTGTCTGTGGTCCAGTTTCCCACCATCTTTTTCCTTCTCAAATGTGCTATTCCCACCTACCTCTCAGTGGTCATCTGAGGAAACTAAGCAAGCAGAAAATTCTTCCAATTCAAGGTTTGGCTTTTGTTCAACATTCTAGCTGTAGACCAGATCTGAGGAAGGTTGGAAAGGGGTGTGCAGTATTGCCACAATATTGTGTTAGATAATTTTAAACATGGTAACAGTAGGTTTATTTTATGAAAAGGGCCGATACTATTTTTGTAGTCTACCTCTATGTGTGGTGTTGGAGATAGTGTAATGGATTGCACTAACCTCTGGTCTGACTCCATGTGGCTGTTCCTGTGCCCACACTGAACAGTGTGAGAGGTGTGATTTGCTTGATTTAACTTAGTGGTTTCAGCATCCTGTCACATGGTGCTGATTCTGAGACTGACAAAATGCAGGCCCAGAATAAATCCAGTGTACAATGCCCAGTCTGCTTTAGTCAGCACAGATGGTCTCATATTAAACAGGAATTTTGTGATAGCCTCTTGCTGGTTCCCTCCCATATGAGCTCCCTTTATAGAATGCAATACGGGCTATTTCCATTACCAGATTTGAATTTTCAACCAGTAACTCACAGGTTACTGAACTTCAAAATGTCCCAGTGCCAAAAAGAGTTGGATGATGGCTCTGCATGTCAGTTGAGGTGACCATTGGTCTAGCATGTTGCCTATTGTAGTCTTTACATGCAGGAGGCAGTGCCTTCCTCTGAGTCATTGCACAAATACATTATTCAGGACTTAGCTAATACAAGGAGAATGCAGTGCCTTGCAAGAGTTCTCCTGGACTCTATTGTTACATAAAAGGTTTTGCATCAAAATGATCAAAGTGTATAACTGGTCCCTGAAACCGTCTGTTGCTGGTCTTTAAACAACAAAAAGTCTTAATATGTCCAAACCTCATGTAGAGCATCATTGTACTAGCAGAAGGCAATTCTAGTGATTGGATTTTGCATTGAAAGAGTAGGGAATGTTATATCTATCTGTATTTCCTTGCCAATCAAAAGCAGAGTGAATCTGGTTTGAAGATTTCAGCATCGATCCCAAATAATTTTACACTTACTTCTTCTTCAGCAAGGCAGAGTCCTGGGTTCATGCTGTTTAAAGTTGACTTATGGTAATATGTGTTGGCTCAATGCTGTACTGCAAGCCCAAAGTCTGCATGCCTATGATGCCAGTAACACAGAAAGTGCCTCTATTTCCTTTTGGCTCAATGGACCAACACAAAAATTTAGATTTATATGTTTGAGTCAAAACCAGTGATTTGGGGTTGAACAGAAGGTTTTGTTTGTGTCTATAAACACAGGAAATCTGGGAGTGAAGGACTAGATTGACAAGAGTGAATGGAAATACCTCATGGAAATTGGCAATTCATATCAAGAAAGAAGGTAGATCCTAGAAATCCTAGACTTCAAAGACACAAGTTTCAGTGCCACCTCTGTCACACTTGTAAGGGTGAACTTTGAAGTTCTTTGTTATGGAGGACCATGTTATAAGAGTTTGAGCCATTTAACTTTGTACAATAAATGCTCCCTACATGAGAAAAGACTCCTGAATATCACGGTTTTTAGGAAACACCTTGCTTCTTCATCCATTATTTCTTTTAGGTGAGCATAATTGCCTTAATCAAAAAGACTGAGGCAAACCCATCCCACAGTATTCTGTGGTAGGGAATCTGATGAGGTGGTGACTCCAAATGTTGGAGTGCTCCTGATGGTTTATTCCTGAACTATAATGAGGCATCCAGTATATGTGGTGGTAGGACTATGTAGGACAATTTTGGAACGTGTCTTATCCCTAATCAAGGCAAAGCCATTTTTCCATACTGTAAAAATAAAGCATATTTATATCTTCTCAGTGTTAATACTTAAATATATTGATAAAAGTACTGCCACCATTGGTGGTAATCTTGCCACCATTTTTTTATGTAAAGAGACCTGAAAATGTTTTCCAGGGTTGATTCCAAGAATAGAGTCTTATTTATTCATTTATTTACTGTAAAACTCTTCATGAAACTGCTACAGAGTACTCAACATTATAGGAGATGGAAGAAGTGGGCCTTCGTTCATGCATTTTTACTCAAGTGTGCAGCCAAACAGAGAAGTCTGTGGCTCCCTGTACTTTCTGCTAGGCTTTAAGAAAGCTTCCATTTTGGTTTTCTTTCAGCCTCCTTATTTGAGACTATAGAAGATTAGCATTGATAGTGTTGAAGTTGAGATGATAGTGTCAAAGGAAATCCCAGTCTCTTGAGCTGCTCTCATTATTCCGGGTTTCTCTCCCCATTGCTTCTTCAAGGATGCAGACATCTTGCAACTTCCTCTGCTCCCATCCTCCCTTCCCAGGCTGATG